TGACTTCTTTTTATTAAAGGCGACACGACCCTGCGCTATCCTCTGCTTTATATCCCTACTACTCCTTCCATCCTCACTTATCTGACTTCCTAGGTATCTAAAATCAGCCACTTCTTCTAATTTTTCATCTCCTATCTTTATATTCGCTCTTCCTCTACTTTTTCTTCCCTTGCATACCAGTATTTTAGTTTTACTTAAACATATTGACTCTTAATTTCAAATTCTTCTCCTTTGTAAGATCGTAATTATAAGTCAAAAGAAGGGAGCAAGAGAATGTTCAAAAAGTACCTATGCCGAACTAACGATAGATAAGAATACTTTATATGAATTTTAATGCAACATTTTCATTCAGGCTAGTTTTTATTCAGTACTAAGGCGTCATCCATAAAATACGTCACTTAGAATTTCACCTTTTTTGACCCTACTCCTTTCGTCACGCTGTCACACCTTCAGCGACCCCTTTAACACTCCATACTCCCTATAAACGATTTCTTCTGATTAAAAGTAGTACTGAGAATGACTTTCTATCGTAATGAAAAATTTTAAGAACTGCCAAGTTAACAAAATTGATGAACTGCGAACGCCACATTTCATTCCTTTGTCATAGATCGTCACACCTCGTCACGCTAAGTAATACCCTTCTATATTCCTTATTTGCGAACGTATTTTATGAACAACCCCTAACGTCAATATGTGATGCAAACTGAACTTTTGAGTAAATAACTTTGTACTTTTAGACAATTACAAACAGTAATGACTGATTTAAGAATATATTAAATTAAACTTGCAGGTACCGCAGCTGCAGAAGCATTATCTCTTTGCTATCGCCACACTAAGAGAAGAAAACTTTTCGTATCCAAGAAACTCCACCCTCAGACAATATCAGTTATAGAAACCCGTTTAACTTCCCTAGGATTGGACGTTGAGACTGTAGACGTTTTCGATACTGACTTCTCAAATCATGACGTAGCTGGAGTGATGATCCAATACCCTGACACTGAAGGAAATGTGTTGGACTTCAGTTCCGTTTCAGAACAGGCCCATTCTCACGGTACTTTGGTCTGTTGTGCAACAGACTTACTAAGTCTGACATTACTAAGACCACCTTCTGAATTTGGAGCTGACATAGCCATTGGAACGTCTCAAAGATTCGGTGTACCATTAGGTTATGGTGGACCACACGCTGGATTTTTCTCTTGCAATCAATCGCTGGTAAGACTGATGCCGGGAAGAATGATAGGCGTTACAAGGGACGCCTCTGGAAGGGACGCTTATCGTTTAGCTTTACAAACAAGGGAGCAACATATCAGAAGAGACAAAGCCACAAGTAACATCTGCACTGCTCAGGCACTTCTAGCAAATATGGCGGCCATGTTCGCAGTTTATCATGGTCCACAGGGACTTAAAGACATTGCTTCCAATGTCCACAATAATACGCTTGTTCTGAACCACGGTCTTAAAAAAGATGGTCACGAGACACAGAAAAGTACGTTCTTCGATACACTAAGGATCGAGCCAAAAATAAGCGTCGACGAGATAAGGAGTAGAGCAATGGAAAAGAAAATAAATTTGAGATACTACGATGACGGGGCTGTGGGTGTCTCATTGGATGAGACTGTTACAGTCGAAGACGTAAACGACTTGTTTTATTGTTTCGCGTCAGGCAACAACGTCGACGGTCTTGTCCAAAACGAAGAACCAGAGATCATGAAAGTGTCCATAACAAATTCACCATTCAAAAGAACCTCGCCTTTCTTAACCCATTCGGTTTTCAATTCGCATCATTCCGAAACGAGGATTGTTCGTTACATGAAGACGTTAGAAAACAAGGACATATCGTTGGTTCATTCCATGATACCTTTGGGCTCTTGTACCATGAAGCTGAACTCTACAACCGAAATGATGCCATGTTCGTTTCAGCATTTTACAGATATTCATCCATTTTCACCGTTGGACCAGACCGAAGGATATCAGCAGTTGTTTGCGGAACTGGAAAAGGATTTGTGTTCCGTAACGGGTTACGACAAGATAAGTTTTCAGCCAAACAGTGGTGCTCAAGGAGAATACGCAGGACTACGTGCTATACAATGCTATCACGAAGCTCGGGGTGACAAGCACAGGGATGTGTGTTTGATTCCTGTAAGTGCCCACGGGACGAATCCTGCTAGTGCCCAAATGGCAGGAATGCGGGTGGAGCCCGTCAAAATTAGGCAAAATGGATCGGTGGATGTTGACGATTTAATGGCAAAAGCGGAAAAATTCCGAAATCGCCTTTCATGTCTTATGATAACATATCCCTCAACAAACGGCGTTTTTGAGGAGACCATAGCGGACATTTGTGAGGTCATTCACAAAAACGGGGGGCAAGTCTATTTGGATGGGGCAAATATGAACGCACAAGTAGGATTATGCAGACCTGGCGATTATGGAAGCGATGTATCACACTTGAACCTGCACAAGACCTTTTGCATTCCACATGGTGGTGGTGGTCCAGGAATGGGTCCTATAGGGGTCAAAAAACATCTGATTCCGTTTCTCCCAGGTCATCCTGTGGTCAATCCTCATTCGGCAGCAACCGCAGGTCCGGTTAGCGCCGCTCCGTTCGGTTCTTCGGCCATCCTTCCTATTAGTTGGGCATATATTAAGATGATGGGTCCAAGGGGTCTTAAGAAAGCCACCCAAGTGGCAATACTGAACGCAAATTACATGAGTGCTCGCTTGGAGTCGCATTACACGACCCTATTTAAATGTTCGACTTCTAAACTTATTGCCCACGAGTTTATAATCGATTGTAGAGACTTTAAGAAGACAGCTAACATTGAGGTAGCTGACATAGCGAAAAGACTTATGGATTTCGGGTTTCATGCACCGACGATGTCTTGGCCGGTCCCAGGGACGTTGATGATTGAACCGACGGAATCGGAGGACAAACAGGAACTCGATAGGTTTTGTGAGGCTATGATCACGATAAGGCAAGAAATAAGAGACATAGAAGAAGGCAGGCTGGAAATTAGGATGAATCCTTTAAAAATGGCACCACATACGCAAGAACAAGTGGTTTGTAGTAACTGGGAGAGACCTTATACTAGAGAGCAGGCCGCTTTTCCGGCCCCTTTTGTTAGACCTGAAACGAAAATTTGGCCCAGTGTCGCTAGAATTGATGACATTTATGGAGATAAACATTTGGTGTGTACTTGCCCACCTGTTTTGCCTGAATACAACTACTAATTAAATGATAAAGATGAACAAACATTCGTCTCATGTTATACTGACTTTAATAGAAATAAAATATTTAGATCAAAGCGGCAACATTTTACAGTTGAATAATTTTTTAAATTATATATTTTATTGATTGTTACATTTTGTGAGATTTTATTTTTCTTTTCTGATACTAGAAATAATAAAAACAAACGTCAAGGTAATTCATACTGTATACCTACCTATATGTACGGATGTTGTGTACGAAAGGTTTATATGGTATTTAGAAATAAACAAACTTTATCTATATCGGTAATAATTTTTATTATTTATTGAACAATACGTTAACAACTTTTTAAGGAAAATATTATTGTTTTTTTGCTGATTTGTCTTCCTACAGGATTAACACAGCACCTTATTAATTTTAGTTAGTTGCGTATACAGAAAATACAAACATATTTCCGTATATTTTTTTGTTAGATAAATAAATCCAACGTTTCGTCCAGATTTAATTATGACCACTGATATTTTTTTTTCGAATTTAACTGTAACATGAAATGGGCAGAGGGCGTTTAAATGAAATTATGTGTTTGATTCATTATAATTAATTAATAATTTAAAAATAAATTAACCAAGGATCATGTTATAAAAAGTGCTATAACCAAAATTAAAACCACATTTAAAAACCTAACGAACTATTAGGAACCACAGTTGTTCAGATCCAGTGAAATTATATGACCTTCAAGACGTAGGTGTTGCTGGGAATTAGTTAAAGGAACCATCAAATGCTAGAACTCGGAAGTACTATTGGGCTTCGAAAAAGATCGGGTACCAGAGGTACTGGTGTAATAATAATCGCCGAATACAACAGGTACCAATTTGTTAATTAACACTTAGAGAAAAGTGCCCTTAATATGCAGATAGGATTTCCCAAAATTTTATAACATTTTCCGGTAGTATTATTTAAGAAATAAATAGAAATTTTGTTGATAATTCAATGAATTGTTTTAAGAGAAAAAGTGTACTTATTTTGATGATAATTCCAAACGAAAAGATATTTGATTTATATTCAGTTTCCTTTTACTTACCAACATGTTTGTTCCACCTGGCATAAGCCAGAAGCACCTTCTTCAAGATTGCTTGTTTTTCCTGGCCGTTTTCTCCACAAAATAAACTGCATCCTGTCCTATGTAAATCCTTGACGATTTGAACGTCAAGTTCTGTGTCAGCAGGATTCGCCCATTCGCTGAAACATTCCGCCTCGACTTTATTCCAGTTTACGTTTCGCGACGACAAATACTTTTCCGATAAGTTTATCCACAATTTTTTACGGAATTCGGCGGGAATGCCTTCCGGAAGTTGCACAACCATTTTCATAGCAGTTTTCCATTGGGAAAAGCCCGATTCTCCATGCGCCGGATCGATAGAAAATCGCAAGTTCGATTTTTCATGAGCATCTGAAACAAACATAAACATCCTTACAAGACCCATCGTGCAGTAAAATAGGTACGTGACACAAAGTTGGTTCTGTAGTCTCTTTTAAATACTTTTGGTATGCATTTACTTGCTTGCTTTCGATACCTGGGAAGTCAGACAAAAAGAAATCACGGTAAAGGTTTAGATGATGGCCCCCACCCCCTAAGGGGGTAGTAGTGGGTGGGATCGAAAGAGGAGGTCTCCCCCACCACTATACCATAAAAAGTTCGTGGCGGTCTCACCCCCATAAAAATTTATGGGGGTTAGATGATGGCCCCCGCCCCGAAGGAGATGGGTGTAGGCGGGATCGAAAGAGGGTGGTCACCTGAGTAAAACCCCATAAAATTTTTGCGGCGGTCTCACCCCCATAAAAAGTTATGGGGGTTGAAATTTGATTATTTTGACAATTTTCATACAAATAAAATTCAATAAAAAAAATATTTTCAAGCGGGTAGAGACGGGGGATCGAAAGAGAGTGGTCACTTGAACAAAACCCGATAACCTAACCTAACCTACCCTATTGATAAAGATATTTAAATAATGTTTTATATAACTTTCTCAATATTTTTTATGTATTTTTCATTAGTTTTATCTTTAAATATTGTTTAAGAATGACTGTATAAATATTTACATGCCTAGAAATATATAAAAATTGGTATATTTATTAACTTTGAACCCCCATAAATTTTTATGGGGGTGAGACCTCCACGAACTTTTTATGATACAGTGGTGGAGACCTCCTCTGTTGATCCCCTGAAGAGGGTGGGGGCCATCATCTAGACCTTTACCGAAATCACTTTTATATTCACGAACGATTATTTGAAGGAATGCGAGATATAATAAAAATTGCGTAGATAGATAAGACAGAAATGAGAAGATTCTGAAAAAAAAAATTGAGGACAAAGGGATATATGGAAGTTACAAAGACATGAAAGACTAATTAAAGACATACTAGAAGCAGGAACAAGACTGAGGAGGAGTACAAGTACACCTACATTAGATTACCGTCCACAAATAGTTAGGGATGTGGGACGTTATTGTTTTAGGGATAGAAAAGAAAAGATTAACGACCCTATGATGATGACAAAACATTTATTCATGTAACTATACATTTTCGTAAGTTTGCCAGTTGTTTGCTTTCAATGTTGCACTTGCAAACAATTCTCTCGTTTCATATTGTTATTCACGACCACACGACGAAAATATAAAACGATATCGATATCTGTATCATGTTAATTTCAAAATATAACATTATTTATCAGCAAGCTCTTTAGGCTTATCTGCCTACAGTGATATGTAATGCGTTCAAAAACTTTTTGATGTATGTATCTCAAAACACCGGAAAACATTTCACATTTATGCATTTTGCGTAGTACAGGTATTTATCTACTCGGTATATGTAATGATAGTACATATATATATATATATATACAAAACACATACGCATAAGTGTTGAAGTTAAATACCATCGGTTTCTGATTAATAGGTTTAGAGACGTTATTTTCCCTGGTTGTTATCAATAGTATAAATTGATTAATAATGCTAAACAAACTTATTGTAATTCACCCCTGGCGTACGTAGGTCTGTAATGATAATTTTGTGCGGCTATCTCCTCTGATGATAGGATATTCTGGAATTAGCTGACTATTAAAATGTTTAATTAAATGATGAAACTATGGTTTAGATCCATTTAGAATGCTGTCCTTCAACCGGAATTTTCAATTAGAAGTCACCAACCTTTTGACCTGCTGAGTGCTTTTAAACGAAAGCATTCGGTTATATCCCTTATATTTCATTCCTCATGAATGTATTCCCTTTGGAGCATCCCATATTGTAGATATTTAAAGATGTAACAGTCATTATTTATACTACATTACTTTTCAATGTTTCAGTTTGTTAGAATTTAGCTGTTAAATATTTATTTATTTTCATTGAGCGTAATTGCAAAATAACTTGTGACGTATGGTTGTTAACAATAAAATTAATTAAAAAAAAAATATCTAAATATGGGGTAGGTATATCAAATTTTATATAGGTCAGACGGATAGAAGTGTTAAAGTAGCATTAGAGAACATAAAAACTCCGTTATTAAACAACGAAAAACTACAAGTTTAGCAACACATTGCATAGGAAACAATCACTCCATCAATACAGAAAATGTAGGATTGTCACATTTAAAAAATAAAGGTAATTGTTTAGATCTGGTAGAATAGTTGGGAAATAAAAAAGCACTAAAATCAAACACATATTGTACAAATAAACAACAAACTTTCCCAAACACCTCTTAATAGACATCTGTAACATGTCAAGTTAGATTCCTCACCGTTACTATTAAATTATGTAGTTTTTCCAGGGTGGCGGTTAAATAATTACACAACTGTATGTTTTTTGTAACGTTTCGGTTTATTCAACCATCTTCAGATTTTTATCTTGTTGAACAACTGCATACTTGTATGGCTTGAGTGACTTGAGTATGCAGTTATTCAACATGATAAAACGTTTAAAAATAAGTTAATAATATGTGTGTACAAGCAGTAACACTTCAAAAGTCTGAAGATTATTGAGTAAACCGAATAAAAATATAGTTGTGTAATTACTTGACCGCCACCCTCAAAAAAACTACATAATCTGTATCAACCACAATCCTGCAATCTGTTCAACAACCGAATAAATATTTACTTGAAATTCCCTATTAAATATTATCTTTGGTAAATTCAACTACGTATTTAACTAAAAACTTCACAAATAGAATAGTAAATAACGATAAGTAGTCTTGATAAAGGTTTAGAAACCGAAATAATTGTAGAGTAAAACTCTAATAAATTGAAACTTTAAAAACTAAAAAAAAATCTTTAATATTACAAAATGTTACATAAAACAAACCAGGAAAAATTGTTGGGGTAGTATCTATCACGATATCATTACTTTCTTTTAAGTAAAATTAAACAATTAATATTTTATTGATAAATTTAAATAGAACTCAATCCGTCAAAGCACGTGTCTAAAGCGTCACAGTTTGAAATGAGCTTTTTAAGCTGATCGAAGCTCAAAACAATTGCCTTTTGTTAAAGGACTCAAACATAAAATACCTACATTTTTTTATTGCTATGATGACAGTATGAGGTGCAGATAAAAAATTATTTATTTACGTTTAAAGTAATGTTTTATAGGTACCTTGTTTCTCGAACGCATGTTGACTTGCAGCTATCGACTTTTTCCATGAATAAAGAAAACCACTCATTAGCATTTGCGTCAAAAATCATATTACCTGACCACAAGGACGGCATTCGAACTACTATTTCACTCGGTCAGTTATCCTTTCAAATAAATTTCATTGAACGAGCTTCGTGTGTCCTTCTGGCACGACGATGACAACCAAGTCTTATCGCACAGGTGGACGTACAGTACGTTTATGTTGTCGGTGCTTACAAAAAAAAAAACGACGTCTCTCTATTATTCACTTGTTTCGTCGTTCTGGCGCTCTCCTTTCCTTCGGTTTTCTCTTTTTTCGGTGGCGGATCCGAGGGGGCGCAGACGCGAGATAATATTGGTTATCTTCCGCAAAATGTGGGAAGTTAAAAGTATTGATTACAACAATAATAGCAACGGGTGTTTCACGTTTGCGAGGGTAATCCACTGATGTCTGAAATAATGATACTTTTGCAGGAAGATTTTTGGGTAGTACCTAATTAATAACGAAACTGGGGGTTGTTGAATGTAAAAGGTTTTTCAATCCAATTACAGTGTAAACTGTGTATAGTAAAACTCAAAAGATCCAGCCTTTTCTTTCGTTGTAGAGAGTTTTTGTAATATATGAAAAGTATGAAAGTTCACCGTTTTCAATAAAAACGTATTTGAAAGTACATTCAAGGGCCAGTCCGGTCCTGGTAAGATCACGTAGGGAAATATGACATTGCAACGCCGTATTCCGTCAGCTGTAACATCCATGTTGTATGAGCATTTCTTTTGTATTTTGTGTTTTTAATACCACGTCGAGGAGTACTTTAAATAGTACTAAGTAGCTATTTAATCAATCGTTTTCGCAATGGGAGTCTAGTAAACAACTGTTCATGTTTAGTTTATTAGTCTTTCCACAACCGTCACCCTTTACATTTTTCATCAATGTAGTTGCTTTAGTTGTTATCGTAATCTCTTTATACGTTGCCGAGCCCATTCACGCCCAGGGCCGTCTGCAGATTCCAACTTCGTCCGATTTTGTGACAAATTTTTCTGTTCCTTAACCACATTGCTTTACTCATCATGCTATTACTTATTGCATTTAGTTAACACCCTTCAAGGCTTATTACTTATTTGAAAAACAGGCTGTAGAATGGAAATAAATCAAAAATATCCCATCCCCACGTAGTAGCTATTTAATTAATTGTTTTCGCAATGGGCGTCTAGTAAACTGTTGGTGTTTACTTTATTAGTCTTTCCACAACCGTCACCGTTTACATTTTTCATCAATGTAGTTGCTTTAGTTGTTATCGTAATCTCTTTATACGTTGCCGAGCCCATTCACGCCCAGGGCCGTCTGCAGATTCCAACTTCGTCCGATTTTGTGACAAATTTTTCTGTTCCTTAACCACATTGCTTTACTCATCATGCTATTACTTATTGCATTTAGTTAACACCCTTCAAGGCTTATTATTTATTTGAAAAACAGGCTGTAGAATGGAAATAAATCAAAAATATCCCATCCCCACGTAGTAGCTATTTAATTAATTGTTTTCGCAATGGGCGTCTAGTAAACTGTTGATGTTTACTTTATTAGTCTTTCCACAACCGTCACCGTTTACATTTTTCATCGATGTTGTTGCTTTAGTTGTTATCGCAATCTCTTTATATGTTGCCAATTCACGCCCAGGGCCGTCTTCAGATTCCAACTTCGTCTGATTTTGTGACAATTTTTTCTGTTCCTTAACCACATTGCTTTACTCGCAATGCTATTACCTATTGCATTTAGCTAACACCCTTCAAGGCTTATTACTTATTTGAAAAATACGCTGTAGAATGAAAATAAATCAAAAATATCCCATCCTCACGTAGTAGCTGGATTTTTAACCCCCTTCTCTTAATTTTAAAATTACCCTATTTTTTCTTAGTCATTCTGATAAAAAGCATAAGGTCCATGTTCTTTTTTTATTTATGTTTGTATATTTTACTATTTGATAGTGATTTACAGACCCTTACCTGACTACCCCTTAGCATTAAGAAAACTTCTAATTTATGGAAAAACATGTTTATAGAAAGTGGCCAAAACGTTGGAAACGAAATTTTGGTTGTTTTAAACTTAAATTAGTTTTCAATGTTTGCATGTGTAGTAGTTTTCATTGTTTTATATTTGTTTTTATTTGGCTACATTGTTATAAACTTAAATTGAAGAGATTGGAATGAAGCCAACGAAACGTTGTAATTTCTGGAAAGGTAACTTCAACAATTTCTCTGGTTTTTCCCAATTGGTAAGGCTGTATATTAGGTTTGGAGACTACCACCAAAAAGGTATAAAGTAAACAACCAGGTTTTATTATCAATTTGACCTTTTTTATTCAATATTTGCCTTGTAAAATGCGCTAGTGAATAAATATTCCGAGTTTCAAATTATTTTCGTTTGGACTTTCTAGGTTTTCTAAGTTGAATCCTTTGTTTTCACGAATTAAAGCGCTCCTTAAAAAAGAGTTCATTAAGACCTGTTTTTCACTTGGATGAAGTGTGCGAACAAGAGTTCTTTATTGCTAAATTAGGTCAAGAACACTTGGATTTTAGGCAATTTTTCTTTCACATCCACAACCGCCATGATTGTTTTATCCCTATTGTTATTATCTATGGTTCATTTTTTAATATAGTTAGTTACAAAAAGCATATAATTGGATTTTAGAAAGTTAATAATAAAACTTATTTTAATTACAGCTATAATTGAATGTTACCATCTACCTATTAATTAGTTATTTTCGTAAACGAATAGCTATCTAGATGGGACTTCAACTTTTTGTGTAACTTCATTAATAAGATATAAAAAAAATTATAAGTTATATAATCTTTCTATTGTATTAATCATCCGCAATAATTATTTTCAGGTGGAATAATACGTTAGACACAATCACCCACTCAAGAAGCCACAGTGTGACGAAATAATTATTCACGATAATTAACGAAAAGTTTTTGAAACAAGCTTTATGCTGTGTTTTTGTCTTATTAATGGAGTTAGCCTAAATCCCATTTAGATACAATGACCCATGTGAATTTTCCAGTTGGGGATGAATTAATTGAAGGACAAAAACCATTTTTAACTTCTGTTACGTCTTATTATTTATTATCGTGCCTATGCCTTCCTTTAACAAAAAGAAACCCTTTCTATGCTTGCGAATGATTAAGAATTTGAAAGAATTGTTTAACGTGTCTGTTTGGAGACGGTTCTGTACGATCCTTTGATGATGGTGATTATGATACATGTATCACTTTACGTATTTTCTATAAAATTGTCTTAGGCTAGAGAAAATAGAAAAAACAAAGACTAATAGGTTGCTTGTTTTGCATTTAATGGTATTACAATTACTCCAATAACCGAACAAAGTGGACAGTCTGAAGGTAAGGTTACCTCTAGTCCCTACATCCATCTGAGTGTGTCAACTGTTCAACGACATACGGAGTTTTTCTGTATAAATACAGACAGATATCCTCGTTTATAGTGTAAGACTGGACAGTAAAATTATGAAGCATTCAATTATAAACGGGGAAAAAAATAGGGAAAGAGCGAATATAAAGATAGGAGACGAAAAATTAGAAGAAGTGGCCGATTTTAGGTATCTAGGAAGTCAGATAAGTCAGGATGGAAGGAGTAGTGGGGATATAAAGCAGAGGATAGCGCAGGGTCGTGTCGCCTTTAATAAAAAGAAGTCACTTCTATGCTCGCGAACGGTTAATTTAGAAATTCGAAAAAGGTTGTTAAAGGTGTATGTTTGGAGCACGGCGTTGTACGGGTGCGAAACATGGACAGTGGGAGCGGCGGAAAAGAAAAGGTTAGAAGCGTTCGAAATGTGGTGTTATAGGCGGATGATGAGGATATCGTGGGTAGAAAAGGTTAGAAATGAAGAGGTATTGGAAAGAATAGGAGAACAGAGGACTCTATGGAAGTCAATAAAAAATAGGCGAGATAGGTTGGTAGGACACCTTCTCAGGCATGAAGGTCTAGTCAGAGACATATTAGAGGCAGAAACAGGAGTTAGGAGGGGTAGAGGTAGACCTAGATTAGATTACTGTTCGCAAATAGTTAAGGACATGGGCTCTTCTAGTTTTAGAGAAATGCGAAAATTAACTCAGGATAGGAAAGAGTGGAGGTGGGTGTCCAACCAGTCTTAAGATTGACGACCTTATGATGATGCTGATGTATAGCACCTCTTAAAAAAAAAAAACGAAAAATATAAACACCGATATTCGAGATTATCAAATAAACCCGAGATTAAAAGCATTTTAACGAAGCACAAGTGTAAAAAGAAATGTAAGAAATGTATTGCTTTTGAGTGGGCGACGTTTTATTAAAGAATCGTTTGGGAAAAATTGTGTTACATTTTTTAAGGTCAAGTGATGTAAAAGAAAATGTTTTTTTATGATTTAACTTCTGAAATATAGAGGCAAAATGCCATAACAAAAAGCAAACTGCCACTTAAAAAGTCGTCAAGAAAGATTTCTCTCTTGAGAAGACAATCTAACAATCTTTATAGCGAAAAACTGTTAATAAAACATTATAAGAAATAGAGATGCACCGGATAAGGATTTTGCTGAGTACCGTATAAATGCATAACCGGATACTACGCAAAACTATTACAGTTAACTTCGTTCTCCTAGGCTTTTCATTAAATACTACCCTCACCAACGTCCTAAAATTTAAGTGCCGTTCAGAAAGTCCTTTAAACACTTAACTAATGAAATTTTAATTCTTGGTTGGCGGGTTTTCAAGGAGAAGGTTGAGATGAATGCGTTTAAACGAGCCTAGGTATAATGTTTATAAAAACTATCATCATAAAATCATACTGGTAGGTTATCGTTAATCAAAACCTAACATATACCAACAAGCAACAGAAATTGTAACTGTTCCGTCATACTGATGTATTCTTGTTCACGAGAAAAAATAATCACAAGAACTATAATAACAAATAATTTAGTATAATAATTAATAAATGATATAAATTAGAACAAACGACTTATTCCAATACAATCTTAATTACCAATTTTTGTTAGGTAAGTTGCTGGTGTTTGTTTTTCGTTTTTTCTCAGGTAGAGTTTCCCGGCACTGCCAGTTATCCGGCGTTATTATCGGCATTCTAAAGAAAGAGCCGGATCCGCCGGGTACCGGATCCAAACCGAGCACCTGGCCCATCTCTAAGAAGAATGTTGCAGGGGCTTTTGCTTTAATTCCGAACATATTTTAATTATCATCATCGTAAGGTCGTCAGTCCTAAGACTGGTTGGACACATGCACCTCCACTCTTTCCTATCTTGAACTAATCTTTCTTCGCATTTCCCTTAAACTAGAACAACCTACATCCTTAACTATTTGGGAACAGTAATTTAATCTATTTCTACCTCTATCCCTCCTAAAGACCTTCATGCCTAAGAAGGTGTCCTACCATCCTATCTCGCCTATTTTTTATTGACTTCCACAGACTCCTCTGCTCTTCTAATACCTCTTCATTTCTAACCTTCTCTATTCACGGTATCCTCATCATTCGCCTGTAACACCACATTTCGAACGCTTCCAAACTTTTCTTTTCCGTCGCGCCCACTGTCCATGTTTCGCACCCGTACAGCGCCGTGCTCCAAACATACACCTTCAACAACCTTTTTCGAATTTTCAAATTAACTATTCGCGAGCATAGAAGTGACTTCTTTTTATTAAAGGCGACACGACACTGTGCTATCCTCTGCTTTATATCCCTTATAGTCCTTCCATCCTGACTTATCTGACTTCCTAGATACCTAGATATTTTAAAATGGTAGGAAAAGAACAGTCAAATAGTTTTGAATCTTTAACTATATGTCCGACCGATTTACTATCACCGGGCACAAGCCTCTAATAAAGTTATAAATAAGTGAAAAATAAATTACTATTTCAATTATCTTGATACTTACACTTTTGTAAAATATTAGTGACTACTTCGAGGTGGAGATCTCTTTGCCGACACAGAGCATCTCGGCGTTTCAATCGCCTCACCAATAGGTTACCAACTTGTAACAACTGCTGTTGTAAATCGTCCAACAATAAGAATAGCTCCTCTCGATCTAAAAATAAAAGAAAATGTTTTTTTTTATTCACGTCAGTACCACAGTCTTTCATACAGCCACTTGAAAATAGTCTCTAAATGTAGGTGAAACAAGATCAATTTTGCGCATGTGCAATCCTACTTTTCCTTTAAGATTGACAATGCACTTTGGCAATTGTTGTTGGTAGTCTGTAATGATTTTCTTGCAGCATATGCCTTACCTTTCACAGACATACCTCAATATTGCAGCTTACAGATGTCCAAGTCGGTTTTATCGATGAATGATTGAAATAAATCGAAATATGATCCAATTCTCAGGATTGTTATCAAATTTGAAGATGGGAGTTAATACTTTCTTTAGGGAGATCCTTTAGTAAATTAGGATCAACAGAAGCCTATCGACTTATTTCTACATACATATCTTCCTTGTGTTCTCTGAAAGCTATAGGAAAATCAGCTGCTTCATTATCAGCTAACTGATGCAGACAAGCAATCGCGAGAAACAGCACGGGCCTAATTCCAAAGGTAATAGTGTTCAATTCATATGCTTGAATTTTATTGTCGTCATTTCTCCAATTGATTTTAGATTGTTTATAGGGAGATTGTAGACATCCTACAATCTAATTGGTCTCCTGCGCTATGACAAACTTTTTGCCAGAATTGCGTCAAAAAATAACATAGGAAATATTAATGTGAAAATTCATTTTCAATTTCTCATCCACTAAAAACTACCTCAGGTTAATGAGGGAAAAATTGTTGCTGTTGTCACACCCCCGCCGGGAATTGAACCCGGGATTTTTGGCTTTACGCACAAATGCTGTGATCACTAAGCGAAAGCCAAAACTCCCGGGTTCAATTCCATGCGGGTTTTGACAACATGAACAAAAATTTTTCCCTCATTAACTTGAGGCAGTTTGTAGTGGACAATGGAAAATGAATTTTCACATTAATATTTCATATTAACCACTCATCATCATCATAAGGTCGTCAGTCCGAAAACTGGTTGGACACGTACCTCCACTCTTTCCTATCCTGAGCTAAACTTCGCATTTCCCTAAAACTAGAACAGCCTACATCCTTAACTATTTGCGAACAGTAATCTAATCTAGGTCTACCTCTACCCTTCCTAACTCCTGTTTCTGCCTCTAATATGTCTCTGACTAGACCTTCATGTCTGACAAGGTGTCCTACCAACCTATCTCTCCTGTTTCTTATAGACTTCCATAGAGTCCTCTGTTTCTTCTATTCTTTCTAATACCTCTTCATTTCTAACCTTTTCTACCCACGATATCCTCATCATCCGCCTATAACACCACATTTCGAACGCTTTTAAGCTTTTCTTTTCCGCCGCGCCCACTGTCCATGTTTCGCACCCGTACAATGCCGTGCTCCAAACATACACCTTTAACAACCTTTTTCGAATTTCTAAATTAACCGTTCGCGAGCATAGAAGTGACTTCTTTTTATTAAAGGCGACACGACCTTGCGTTATCCTCTGCTTTATATCCCTACTACTCATTCCATCCTGACTTATCTGACTTCCTAGATATCTAAAATCAGCCACTTCTTCTTTGGATTTGGATTTTGATTTCCTATCGAGTAAATGTTATCTGCAAACGTTATTCGATAATTTCGGAACAGCCCGTATTTTATGTAAGAGAATGAAAAAAAAAAAGAATTTTCAACTTATTCCTTTTGAAATTCTACTTCTTTTCCGGCATTACAATGTTGTGAGTAAAATTTAGTGTAGGAAGCGGAACTTTCGCTGGTAAATTAACGAAAATCTGACGACATGATATTAGCAACGAGTTAGCGGAAATATTGTTTAAAATTATATGTAATAATAATAATTATTATGCTCGAGACTGATGTTAAATTGAGTAATTAAATCGCACTTATCATGCAATAATCGTATAGAAAGAGTAAAATGGGCTAGTAAATTACCCTTTTAGAGAGCATTTTATTCGTCTGTTGCAAATTCAATGGGTTACAAATTGATCGTTTTTATTGTTCATTAAATTGCAGCATAGCAAATTGTTCGTTGCTGCATTTTCTGCGGTAATTAACAATCATCAAGAGTAAAATTTGTTCTAATTGACCATCGTTTGTTAACGTTTCGTGTTCATGCAGAGCAAATTTGTCAATTCAAATTCATTAAAATTAATCTAATTAACGGGTAATATTGCTGGCGTTTTAATCTAGGTATCAAAAGATGTTTAATTGAGTTAATACGTTTGCATGTGTGACGCAAATAAAAGCATCTTTACGCCATTTAATTATTTGATTAACACCATTAATTACAATGTAAGACAGAATCCTCTCTCGTGCATCAATTCAGCATTACGGCAAATAGTTTAACTCATAAATCCGCTGGAAGTGATAATTTTTCGTTTAACTTATAAGATCAAGATTAGGACTAATTTTACTCATCACTCATCACTATAACCCCCTTAACTTTTTATAGGGGTGAGACCGCCGCAATTTTTTATTGGGTTTTACTTAGATGACCACCCTCTTTCGATCCCCCCTACCCCCACCCTCTTCGGGGATGGGGGGCCATTATCTAACCCCCATAACTTTTTATGGGGTGAGACCGCCACGAACTTTTTATGGTACAGCGGTGGGGGAGACCTCCTCTTTCGATCCCACCCACTCCCACCCCCTTCGGGGGTTGAGGCCGTCATCTAGACCTTTACCAATATAACAATACTTAAAAATAACATATCAGGGAAACGTAATGAAAAATAATAATTAATCTAGCCTGTTAAATAATGTTAAACTGTAGCGTTTGATCGGTTGCTTCTTACAGTATTAGAAAGGTGTTTTGTATGGTTGCCGGTCTGTCCATTTTCAATCAACAAGACTGTACCTACACAATTTAATTTTACCAAGATTAGGACTAATTTTACTCATCACTATAATGAAATAAAGTCCAAACCTTACTTGTTTCTTAAATAATAATATTACTGACGGCGAAAACGTCTATAATATACAAGCATACAGCCCTTCTCACAAAATTGTATTTATTTTTCATGTAGTAAGAATAAGTCTAATATTTTCAAAACCGGACTGAGCTTTTGTACAGTCCTTTCAGCACTTACTTTATTAATGTAATTTGTAATTTGTAATTCAAGATACTTCATCAAATTCGTTTAAAGTGTTTGAAGTTTCAAAACATTTAAACGTTTGAATATTATTGCTTTAGAAGTAATTGGTAATTTAATTACGGCTTCGAAGGCTAACACATGTTATGTAAGAGCCTTGGGTTGAGACCTTGTAGTTCATTTCGTAGAGGAACTCGAACACTAAGGGTACAAAGCCTTGATTAGTAACAGATAGAAAACTTGAAAATTAACAATTGTAGATACAAAATAGGACTCATTTTTATATAAATTGTAACTAGAGCTAGGCAGAGCTCTCACCAAAAGAACTCCAAACCTTGAACGCAAAGCGCTTACTTAAAGTACTGTAGCCCTTGAATCCCTAATAATTACATAATAAAATATAAGGAACGGATCACCAATTAATTCGAAAGCAATTACAATCAAATCTCTAAGCACTTTGAACTCATTTGAGTTACAAATTACAAAGTAAATCGTTTATTAAATTACAACTACTTGTTTATCGACGGACTTAAATTACAGTGCTTCAAATCCCTGTAAGGACTGGAAGCACATTTTCAAGCACAAGCCATAAAGCTCTATCTAATAACTCTGAAGGCAACTATTATTCTTTATATCTACCTTTTGTGACGACCCCATAGTTAAATCCAATTGTGCTTTTTCTTCAACAAGGAAACTAGTAGTACAAAATCAACCGAAGATTGATATTCTTCATTTATTTATTTATGATTTTCTGCAACCACCGACTAACCACAACAACTGATTTTAGTAAATATGAAGACCTTCATCAGCCACGTGGTTTTTAATCCTAGTTCCGCTTGTACTTAAAAGAACTTACCTTTCTCTTCTAAATGAGTTTTCGACAATCCAAAGTTGTTCTGGGTAATAAAAGACGACACGGAGGTGCAGGTGCTGTCGGTCCTTTTCGAGTTCTTCCAATAAATTTCGAGGAGTAACTGATCCACGAGATCCGATTTTCGCCTCCTGTCCTTGTCCTCGTTACCGTCAGCGTCCCTTTTCCTTGACAGCTTCCCAGTTTGTTGCTGATAGTTCCCGCCATAGGCACATTTATTTGTCATTGTCATGGTCTCAGGTAACGCGATCTGGGGCAGAATTTTAGGTAAAGGAAAAGGATCAATCGGAAACGTTTGGCATGTCAGAACAACACGTCCTAGGTAATTGCTTCCGATGTTATTTTCCTTGTTGCACTGTTGATACCGTTGTAGTAGTCGCTTACTTCGCTGCACACTTTTAATTTGTATTCGGGTTTCATGAATTTTATGCATCGCTATCAGTGCACGCAGTTATGTGTGTGTGTGTGTGTTACACCGTGCTTTAATTTTACAGATAAAAAAACTTCCGGCGTCAAGCGGTTTTGATAGTAAAAAACATTAACGCACTCAAATTGGCAAATACTATACAATAGCGCAATATTTGTTTGTTATTCATTATCGCATACTCAATATCTGGGACAGCTGTACAGAATGGCCTGAAAAGAACGAATTGATTAATAACGAATACATTTTTGTATCGAACTACCAAGTGTTCAGATCAGACAGTGCTTGACTTCAAATTACCGATAAAACAATTATACGGGGGCATGAACGAAATAAGTGGGAAGAAAAAATTATTTTGACAGGGTTCATTTTTGACTTTTAAAAATTTCTTGTTTGTGATGTCAATTTTGAAAACGCCAAGGAACATTAACAACTGTACAAGTTAATAAAATTGTAAAAGTAGGATACATACTTAAAGTTATTTTGATTTTTAAGTAGATATACTCATTATAATTTACCAATAGGCTTTTTTAAGTCAATTTGTAAATCTTATTTTAAGAATGTATCTACTGTCAAAATCAAAGCCAGGATGGAGGCCAAAAATAAAACGTTTTGCTTTTTGGTGAAAGTTTTTTAAAGGTAGCCTTTAAATGCAATAGTTACTTTTCTGAGGATGGGGTCGGCTGTGAAAATGGAATACAAAAAGCCATAATGAAAAAGTAACCATGCTAAAAATCAAACTAATTCCTTTGGCAGAAAAACACATTTAATTCATGCTTTATGTATTTGTTGTTATCCTTTTTATTTATTTTTTACTAGGTTTTACCTACAGTACAGTACAACTGTAGGGATAGATATACAGAAGCAAAAGATTAGTATGCTTAGATTTGCAGATGATATAGTAGTATTAGCATTGAAAGATAAATAAAAGTAAAACAAAAATACTGGCATGCAAGGGAAGGAAAAGTAGGGAAAGATAGGGGACGAAAGATTAGAAGTGGCTAATTTTAGATATCTAGGAAGTCAGATAAGTCAGGACGGAAAGAGTAGTAGGGATATAAAGCAGATGATAGCGCAAGGTCGAGTCGCCTGCAATCAAAAGAAGTCATTTCTATGCTCGCGAACGATTAATTAAGAAATTTGAAACGGATTGTTAAAGGTATATGTTTGGAGAGCGGCGCTGTATGGGTGCGAAACATGGACGATGGGTGTTGCGGAAAAGAAAAGGTTAGAAGCGTTCGAAATGTGATATTACAGGCTAATGATGAGGATACCGTGGATAGAAGAGGTTAGAAATGAAGAGGTGTTAAAAAGAATAGGAGAACAGAGGACTCTATGAAAGTCAATAAGAAGTAGGCGAGATAGGTTAGTAGGACACCTTCTTAGGCATGAAGGTCTAGTCGGAGACATATTAGTGACAGAAACGGGAGTTGGAAGGGGTAGAGGTGGACCTAGATTAGATTACAGTTCGCAAAAAGTTAAGCATGTGGGATGTTGTAGTTATGTCCTTTTTTGTATCTCTGATAATGTGTGTACAAAATTTCATGAGTATGGATTGGGTAGTTGAGGCGTGAAAACAATAACTAAACAAATTCAAATAAAGATTGTGCATGAATTTTATAAATTATGATAACAGATTAATTTTTACATACCTACATGTAATCCTTTAGAAAAGAACTATGTTCTTGCTGGAAACAGGTGTAAAAATGAATATAAATAAATAAACAAAGCATATTTGAGTAACAAGTTTATTAATTTAATATTGAATTTTACGATTTGATTTGCTTCCTTGGAAAGAAGCATACGTCTATGAATGTACGTATTACTTAAGCAATATTATTAAATTATACAGAACAACAGTATAAATACTAATTATAACAGTTAGTACATTAATGGAGTTAGATATGGGAAAAATAGGTGAATGATAATAGTTAAAATGGGATAATGCCAACAAAATATAAAACAAGTACAGCAACCATAATTGAAATTGGACAACGAGGCGTAATCACAAGTCTGTACTAATTATTTATCTACGCTCACACTTAATAATAAATATAAATAAAAATAACGGTAAAGGTCTAGATGATAGCCCCCACCCCCGAAGGAGGATAGAAAGATGAGGTCTTACTTAAAGTACTGTAGCCCTTGAATCCCTAATAATTACATAATAAAATATAAGGAACGGATCACCAATTAATTCGAAAGCAATTAGAATCAAATCTCTAAGCACTTTGAACTCATTTGAGTTACAAATTACAAAGTAAATCGTTTATTNAAAGTTATATAAAACATTATTAAAATATCTTTATCAACAGGGTAGGTTAGGTTAGGTTATCGGGTTTTGCTCAAGTGACGACCATCTTTCGATCCCCCACCTCCACCCGCTTGAAAATAACTATTTTATTGAATTTTATTTGTATGGAAATTGTCAAAATAATCAACTTTCAACCCCGACAACTTTTTATGGGGGTGAGACCGCCGCAATTTTTTTATGGGGTTTTACTCAGATGCCCACCCTCTTTCGATCCCCCCTACCCCCACCCTCTTCGGGGATGGGGGGCTATCATCTAACCCCCATAACTTTTTATGGGGTGAGACCGCCACGAACTTTTTATGGTACAGCGGTGTAGGAGACCTCCTCTTTCGATCCCACCCACTCCCACCCCCTTCGGGGGTTGATGCCATCATCTAGACCTTTACCAAAATAACAATACTTAAAAATAACATATCAGGGAAACGTAATGAAAAATAATAATTAATCTACCCTGCTAAATAATGTTAAACTGTAGCGTTTGATCGGTTGCTTCTTACAGTATTAGAAAGGTGTTTTGTATGGTTGCCGGTCTGTCCATTTTCAATTAACAAGACTGTACCTACACAATTTAATTTTACTTGCTTCTTACATAACTATAGGTACACTCGGTATTCTCAATATTTAAGTATACAAGGATTAGTTGTTTATGTTTATTACTTTACTTTTTACTAACTGTATTATGTTATGATATATGTATATGTGTATAAGATGTAGGATATTTTCCAAAACTATTCTCTTCTAAACATTTTGCACACTGAAGTATCGATAAACGAAGTAATAACAATTTAATTATGTATTTCATTACGCAAACAGCCTATTTTTCGTTGAAGCCAAATTACTTACATTTAGACACAGAGCAATTTGTTTATTAATATGTTACATAAGTAGCTGTGAGACAACCGAAGAAGTTTTTATTACATTTTAGCCCATGGGTTAAGTATATTACGTCTATTAATTATTATTATTAACTAAGTACAATTAGTATAAATACAATTATTAGTAAAAATAAATGCTCACACTGATAGATAGATAGACAGGTAGACAGATAGAGAAATGGGTATATAATATTAGAAATAGAAAGAGACAGTTATAGAGACTACACTTATATTGTCAGTTGTATTTTATTAAGTACTTTTGATAACACCTTTTTGCATGAGTAAAAAGAATAATTAATTGTTTTTTTAAATGGTTATCGTAAAACACAAAAAAACATTTTTGACTCTACTTTAATTCTTTTCGTTTCGTATTGTTACATTCATTTTTTATTAATCACTTACGATCAATTGTTCACCCGAATTATTTATGTATTATAATACTGTTAACCAGAATGGTTCATTTTTCTTTATTCGACAATGCATTTTTTCCTATTATGAAATTTATTCAATTATTTTTTAAAAGTAGTTTAATTGTTTAATTTGATGTATTAAGAAAAATAAAAGAATGACAAATACTGAAAAATAAAAATGAAAAAAATGTTTTTTATATTTTGATGCATTTAGGATTTTTAAAACTACGTACTGAGCAATTTTTAAAGACATTAAACTAATAATTGCAAAGGTCTTTCTATACGTCGAAAACGAACAAATCACAAAATCAAAAAAATATTAGAAGGAAAAAATTGACCATTCTTTTCTCTACTACAAAAATATGCCTATTGTTAATAATAAGGAATTCTTTTTAATAATTTTTAAAATTTGAACACATTCTTGTAGTTTCTGTTATACTTTGTCGTTTTCATGTTTAGAAATCAGTTGTCGTTTCTTTTAATGCATGAATTTGTGTTAAATTGCAATCATTATTAACTTGGAATAACTAAAGTTTTAAAACTATGAATGATTCAAGGAGTGGAATGGGACATGGTCGTGATATTTTGTTGTAGTTATAAAATCTATAGACTGATACATGTATCAAAACCAAATTGCAAGAACCTATTGCTATACATATATTTTAGACAATTTTTTAACTGCAACTACCTACAAAAGCCTAGTACGTTACCTTAGCTCGCATTACTTTATCAATTTTACATTAATTAAATAACAAGTATAAATTTGATGTATTATTAACAGAAATAAAAACAAATATTTAATTATTACTGCTCAACTGGGCTAGAAGGGGTTAAAAAGTATCCACCTCAGAACTAATGGAAATCCGTTTTGATATCTTTTGGAAAATTTCATAGTCGTGTTACGGCCCTGTATTTTGAGCCCTTAAAAGATACTAAGTATTTGTAAATAATAACTAAAATCGCTTGTATATCTTGTCATCCCCTCTTTCCCTTGTCATGTAACAGCTCGCAATTTACCTTATTAGTCAATAATATAAGTACCTAATAAATAATAATTAAAACATTTAAACTGGTTTATTAATTACTAAAAAAAGCTTTGAAAAAGCTATTTTGTATATCTTTTGTTTGATTAAAATTCCAAAGTGTTTTGGTTTATTTCCAATGTTACAGTTTTTAAGTAATATTTTTGAAAAAAAAAAATAGCACCTACCTTTTTGATTGAAAATAAAAGCTTTCGTTTTTAATCCGCAGAGCTTACTTGTGTTTTCTTTGTGGGGTGTCTGGCGTCTTTTTCGAAAAATTATTTAAATTATTGAAAGAAGGGCATGAAATGTCTTTTTTATCGCTTTGTACTTATATGAATTTTATTTTTATTAATTGTTACAATTATTGGCGCACTTGTGGCAAATTATATTGCTGAAATTTAATACTAACTTATATATGTAGATAATTATTTGATATATACATACATGCATGCACACAAGACAAACGATTTAATTTGTTTAATAATTTCCTTAATATTTTTTAACCAAATTTTGGAATTTTACTAAAAATCGGAAGTCTAGTGAGCAGTGGCGGCTCGTATTCTGTAAAGATCCAGAAAATCATCTGGTTTACGATTTAGTACAAAATGATCTGTAAAAGGCCATTTTGTACAAGCGCACAATCTTTGTCGGTATGGTGTAGGTGCACTAAATTATTATTGCAATAAATTTAGTTATTATCTGTAATTTCCATTGTATAGATTCTGTCAACTGTTATCTCTCATGGGCGTAGCGAAAGATTTTTCCTAGGGGAGGCACATTCTCAGTAGCTGTAGGTTTATATAGGTTTAATGGGTTTCATTTCTATGTTTTTTAACTTTCTGATGATATTACTCTAGCTGTATGCGCCCATGGCTATCTGCTACGCGTCTCGCCCTTGGTTCTACCATATTTATTGCCACCACTCAGCTTACCCACCTACCAGAGTGTACTCACCCGATTCCTATCTTGATATAATTGAATATAACAGTTTGCATTCATTAAAGTGAACATACCAATGTACCATCCTTTGGTTTTACCCTTTACACTTATAACGGCTACTCCTTCCATCTACTCTCATTCCACCCATGTGTTACTTAAGCAATACAATTCTCCTGAAGGTTCTCAATGACTATCCCTTTCCATCCACTCTTAGTCCGTCCATCAATTACTTAAGCAACACAATTCGCCTATAGGTTCTCAATGGCTAACTCTCCCATCCACTCTCAGTCCGTCTATGAGTTACTTAAGCAATACAATTCTCCTAAAAGTTCTCAATGGCTATCCCTCCTATCAACTTTCAGTCCGTTCATGAGTTATCTAAGCAATACAATTCTCCTGAAGGTTCTCTATGACTACCTCTCCCATCCACTATCAGTCCGCTCATGAGTTACTTAAGCAATACAGTTCTCCTGAAGGTTCTCTATAACTACCTCTCCCATCCACTATCAGTCCGCTCATGAGTTACTTAAGCAATACAATTCTGTTGAAGGTTCTCAATGACTATCCCTTTCCATCCACTCTTAGTCCGTCCATGAGTTACTTAAGCAAAACAGTTCTCCTAGAGGTTCTCAATTGTTACCCCTCCTATCTATTCCCAGTACGTCTATGAGTTACTTAAGCAGTACAATTCTCCTAAAGGTTCTCAATGACTACCTCTCCCATCCGCTCTCAGTCCATCTATGAGTTACTTAAGAAATACAATTCACCCAAAAATTCTCAATGGCTTCTCCTCCCATCAACTTTCAGTCCGTCCATGAGTTATCTAAGCAATACAATTCTCTTAAAGGTTCTTAATGGCTACCCCTCCCATCCATTCTCAGTGCGTCCATGAGTTACTTAAGAATACAATTCTCCTAAAGGTTCTCAATAGCTACCCCTACCATCCACTCTCAGTTTGTTCATGAGTTACTTAAGCAATATGATTCTCCTAAAGGTTGCCAATGTTTTTGAGCATTATCGAATACATATACTGAATTTTAGGATGCAATTTGCTGTGCATGAATGTATGTAATATCGTGCATACACCAAGTCACTAATGTAATGGAACTATATACAGGGTGTCGGATTTAAAACTGTAGTAAGCTGCAATATTTCGATGTACATTATAATTGAATTGCTTTTAGTTTTTCATAATAATCACAGAACACGTAATTTTTGAATTTAAAAATTTTATTAAGTACATTCTAAAAATATCCTGTCATTAATTAGACGCGTAGAAAATTTTCTACTCATAACTGGGGAATCTCCACATTTCCTTGAAGGATAATTTTTCAGGATACTGATGTATTTTAACCAGATGATATTATTATTACTATCGAAATATTTCTCTTGCGCCCTTTTTTAAATAGACACCCCGTACAATCAATTAATTAATAACTGCGACAATAATTAGAATTTGACTACGAACAATTATTTTTATTACATGTCGCCGAAAATTCCGGCGAATGTTTTTCTGAGATTTTTCATAGTGTCTTCGGCATCTTCGGTGATAGAAGATTGTTGGCTACCCTGGCGTTGGAAAGGTCGCGGCGGGGGGTCCGGAAGACGTCCTCCCACGCTGCTCGGAGTGGATCCCACACCGACCCCACTCACGCTGCCACTGGTGCTTCCGCCTCCCCCGATTCCGCTACTACTTATTGTACTTGACTGTGATGCTGTGCATAAAAATTTGATTTTAGAACAAACAATAAAAGTGAGTCATTTGTTGTAGATAACTACAATGAATGGAATTTTTACGTTTTCCCTGAAAAGTGATGACTAGTACGTTTGTGGGCTGCGAAAGTGCTTTAAAAAACAGAGAAGAAAACAAAATTAAATTTCTGATTTTATCGTTGCATACGCTTTACCAGTTGCGCAGTCACAGGGAGGTTGTTGGGGGGTCAAACTACCCTCCGACTAGTAAAGTTTTTGACGTGACAACGTCTTATAATTCGACGTAAAAACATGACTCATGCTGCGTTACCTCGCTTTGAGGCGTTCCATTTAAGGTTTGAAGTGCAAACGAGAGCGCGGAACGAGCGACAAAGAGGCACAATCGGCCTCCGCGTTCGGCAGCGTTCGACATCTGTCTCTCTCCTACTTGAGTGAGCGATACGTCCGCGTGGACAGCTGCTATACAATAATACATTTACATGTTTTCGTCAAGTATGAAGTGCAGTGAAAAGTGAATGTGGTGTCAATTGTTTATAGCAACGATAATAGCGGCGATAAAGGTAATGATTGTTTCGATATTAAATATATCTTCAGTGATATATTGTCGAATTGAAGCTAGAGTTACAAAAATTTAAATAATGTTTAAAAGTTGTAAATAAAAGTTGTAAAACAATTGCTCAAAGCACATTCATACTTGTAAAAACTATGTACATTGGAAAAAAAATAAATAAAAATTGACATAATTGTATTTATGCGTACAAATAAATGTAACTTGATCAATTCAATTGTGATTTCCATTTACCCCCTTCTCTATATCCATACAAAATATCTATCAAACAAATAAAATTAATTTTTTTTTTGAAAAATGAAACCATTCCATCAGTATTTTCTTATGACATTGTCACGTTCAACTATCGTCAGTAAACCGACTTTACAGACAACCGATTTTTTTTTAATTATGTTACAGTCTGAGAGCGAGAAACAATTCCTATCAGTTACCGTTAGTGTATTGCTGTTGTTGATACATCGGATACGTTTAATATTTTATGATAACTCATAAACTAAACACAAGTAGACAAATATGGTAATAACCCTCCATTCATTTTTTTTAAAAAGTAAATACAAACAACCCGCATCCATTTTTATGCCACTAGATTTGACAGCAATTATTATTTTAGCATTTTTTGCCTTGACCCCCTACTTTTTACAAGTTCTGGCTACGCCACTGATACTTTCGGACATTGCATATTGAAGCGTGGGTAACAAAAAGCAATTCAAATGCCTTTCTGTACTTGCAAACAGTTATTATTTTTGTAAATTGCACTAATATGCGAATGTGTGATTCAGTATTATTCATTTAGTGAAAACCATTTGTATGTTTCATTCATGAAACTTGAGACACTCATTGACTTTTGGAAATGAAATGGAAACACTTTTTGTTGTTATTACAAGGAAATTATTTGTTTGATCAAAAATAAATTTTCCGGAATGCAATGACTTAAATTGAAAAATGTTGCTAAAATTTTCATTTAATTTTCTCTTAAATTTTCTACTATTAGATTTTTTATGTTCTTACTTAACAATTTACACAATATTTGTTCTTGTATATACGAATATATTTCAATATATCATCCCATATAAATTTTCCTGGGTTTGTATTGTCTCGTTGTAGAGGGTGGCCGTTACGTTATAGAGAGTTAGTGGGTATAAAGGGCATATATATGTTAAACTAACCAATGTTAAGAGTTTAGTTATAAAAGGCTTATACTGCAAATATTTAGTCCATCTAGCATTTTTGTATAATCATAAAGCTGGGTTTCCACTGAGGAAACATTGACGAACTTTTTATGTTGCTATTCCCGAAAATGTTTCGCATAGTTGACATAAGTGTCTCTATATGTTGTTGTCGACCGTTTCCATTGTGAAAGATATATTTTCTAGGAAAATCGGAAACATACAGAAACAAATGCGTGTGGAAACAGGTGATGCAACTCGTTGTAATAAGTAATTAAGTTGTGTCTATAGTCTAAAACTAGTCTAGTAGTTCTACAGGAGAAGCAGCTTTTGTGTATAATTAGGTGTTATGCTACTAATATTTAGTCCATCTGTCATTTTTGTTTTGTCATAAAGTCAGATTTCCACCGAAGAAACATTGATGAACTTTTTTGTGTCTGTTCCCGAATATTTTTTGCATAGTTCGTACAGGTGTCTCTATATGCCGTTGACGTCGGTTTCCACTATGAGAGATAAATTTCCAAAGAAAATCGGAAAACGAATGCGTGTGGAAACAGGTGATGTAACTTGTTGTAATAGGTAATTAAGTTGTGTCTATCGTCTAATACCAGTCTAGTAGTTCTAAAGAAGAAGTAGGTTGTGTATAATTCATGTCCTGCTAGTCATATTTAGTCCATCTCGCGTTTTTATCTAATCGTAAAGCTGGGTTTCCACCGAAGAAACATTGACGAACTTTTTATATTTCTGTTCCTGAAAATGTTTCGCATAGTTGACATAAGTGTCTCTATATGTTGTTGTCGACCGTTTCCATTGTGAAAGATATATTTCCTAGGAAAATCGGAAACATACAGAAACAAATGCGTGAGGAAACAGGTGATGTAACTTGTTGTAATAGGTAATTAAGTTGTGTCTATCGTTTACTAGTTTAGTCGTTCTAAAGGAGAAATAGCTTGTGTATAATTTATGTCCTCTTTTTTAATCCTGGAAGCAACCTGACTCAGCAGCTATTCCATCAATGTGCTACATATTTAAACAAAATTTTGTATAGGTACTCTTATTAAGTATGTTTTTTGCATTTTCACTGACTTCATCATCCTCCCTATTCCCATTTACTCTGTAGATAAGGGATACTAACAAAGTTCTAAGGAACAACATGTAACATTAGTTGCTTGGGTGGAAACAACAGATTTACGTATTCTGCCCAAAAGTTTCTGCTGATTATACAAGGAGAAATACCAGACAACAAAAAGTTCCTAAATGTCTCTCCCTTAGAAACCTAACTTTAGAATTCCTCTAAAACAATTGGTTTTATAAGTAAGAAAAATTTGTGTCAAAATACATGATATTGCATAAAATCCGGTCCTGTGAATCATCTCAACTAATGTTGGAGTCTTTACACGTAGACTGAGACATTTGCAAGTGAATTTGCGTAAAAAGAAAGCAAATTGTTCGTTAATAGTGGTAAAGTTCTTTATTTTCTGTAAATACGTGCCTAGAATTGCATTTATTTCACGACCCCAGTCATCGGTCGCGAAAGTTCATGATCCGTTTCAATGTGACGTAATGTGCAAACAAGACACAAAATCCCTTACTTTTAGGCATGTTGAGTCACTACAACTAACGCTTTTGCTTAAACACGTAAAATGAAACATTCGCATACGTTATATGTAAGTAAATTGCTCGTTAATGGTAATGAAACTTTTAGGTATTTTATGTTCATTTGCACCCAGTTTTCGAGATTGCGTCGGTTTTATGATTCGGTTTACTAAGAATGCAAGAAAAAGTTATTAGTAGTGTGTCTTAATGTGACGTCACGCGAAGAAGAAGCAAAAATGATGTAGGTTTTTATTACTAATGCAGTATAGGTAGATATACATATTTCCTAGCCCTGCAAACTTTTACATAAAATACAGTAAAATAAATATAAAGAATAGTAACTAATAATTTCTTCGTCAGTAGTTTATTTGCAATATTTGTAATACTGATACCATGAAATATCCCTAGATGGAGTATATTGGCACGTAGAAAGAAAATTTTAAACGGTTTTGTCCACTTTACAAAATAAAATTTGTTTTAAATAACCACAGAGGGGATAGTAAAGCCATATGTAGAGATTTGCTACTAATTAGTGAGTTCATTAATATTTGAAAGGATCTTTCTCAATTTAAAGCGTCGAACTGCTAAAGGAGTGCTGATGGGAGCTACATTTTAAATTTGTTCTGTTTATATTTTAGTATATTTTTTGTTATTCGTCCACCTCTGTAGACTGCAACATGATAAAGTACAGTCTAAAACTTCCCTTAAAGGACACACATTCCAATGAAAGAAAGACTTGGAATTTCAGAAATTATCCCAAAAAATTTAATGTTGCTTCTTTATGGTATTGGTGGTGTACATAAATACCTTGACTATCTCTCCGTCCAACATTGGACAGCGACGTAAATTCGTTTGCGGTGTTCGGTGGTGTTTCCGAATAATTCAAACTACTCAGACTCCCCAGGATGCCTCGGGACGGTACTGGAGGCGGTACGGGTTCTTCGGTTGTGGGACTTCTGTTGAAGGGTTTGCAAATTGCGTTCATGCGCGAAACCACGAGATCGGCAATGTGTCTGCGGTCTTCTTCCTGGGTTTCCCCTAAAAGCGACAAAGCGCTATCGTTTACTTCGATTATGTATTCTTTGCCTTCTTTTGATACTACTACTTCTAAAGCGCAGATGTCTAAACCTCCAAACAAGTCCGAAACTTCATCTATCCAATTCTTGTACCTAAAAACAAAATAGATAAATATATATATATACATATAATATGAGTTGTTAGAAGTTTCCAGCGTGTTTTACAAAATAAATTGACCAAAAACTTCGTTGTTACTAAGTGTCCCACGAAAAAGGAAACATTTCCATTCCCACAAGCTGTGTAATGCTCGTGGGCGAGAAATCCCTGTGGACTATGCCAGAGGGTGGTGGTTGGAATGGGAAAGATGAGACAGATGAAATGACCACAAAAGAGCGAGAAAGATTATGCTTGGAATACGTATTAGGGGAGACCGGGGATGGTTGACTAATTTTTTACTAAATAGTTCATATTTTTTTTTGTTTTAATGTATATAGACAAGAAAAGCATGTTAATTGATAGAAAATCTATTAACCTAATAAAAATATGTAATATTTAGTTCTTAGTTTAGTATAATACTGATGATTTAATGCATTTTACAAAATATTAAATCTTAGTCAATCTACCCCGGGCCCGGGGTAGGTAGACCATATGCCCGGAGTAAGTTGACTCATGTACCAGTAAGAGTCAAATCATGAGAAGGAGCAAATAATTAAACAATTTTTTTATACAATTGAACCTTTTGTTAAAAAATAAACTGGCTAAAGTTTCTTCTTCTAGATTAGTAAAATTTGTCAATTTTTTATTATATATTGTGTCCAGGGTTAATTCTGCTCTCGTCAATTTCGGATTCTGTTCTAATTTTTCTTTTAATTTGGCCACGTAACGATTTAAATGTCCAATAAAAAGTTAATTTATGTGTTGTTTTCAACTACATATTTCATTGGGGTTGGTTGAATAATTATTCAACCAGCCCCGAAAAAAATTGGTCTACCAACCCCAGACGGCATTTTCAATTTTGATCGCATGGCTAGCCTAAACACTGCCGTTGACTTGAAAAATAAGATATGAAATATGATAAATGTGCCCTCATTAAACGCTAGGACTAATAGAAAAATGATTTACATAAAACGAGTAGGCATCAGATCAAAAAATACAACATATCAAAATATTACTTATGTGATTGAAATATGAAAAACATGTCACTGTTCGAAAACAACGCACGACCGCAATGTGACGCTTCAAACAACTGAGCGGGACGCGAAATGTAATGCTTGGTTATGATCAGATGACATAGTTCATACACTGTCGAAGAGTTTTCGGTAGTTAGTCTACCTACCCCTATAGTCAACTATCCCCGGTCTCCCCTACTGCACCAGCATTTGCCTAAGTGATCCAAGGAAACAACAAAAAAACATGGATCCGGAATCGAACCAACATCATCTTCTTGAAGCTAAGCAATGGTCTAAACCACTAGGCTCTGGGCCCTAGGTCATGCCTAGGACTATTAGACCAACACTGAGACCAATCTCGTAGCGGTCAAATTCTGGCACTTAACCCAATACAATGTAAACGTAAAGATGTCGTATTACTTTGTTCAAATCGAGAACTTTTGCAATTTTTTTTCGATTACGATACTTACCAAATTATTTAGGTACCTAGAAAACTTTACTTTCTAGCAATTAGGTAGTGATAAACTAGTATTCGCAGAAGGGGTGAAAATTATAGCACCATGGTACTTTGAGTTGTCATAAAATAATTGTTTTATTTCCGATTACGTGACGATTACCAATGAGAAGTTGGCACTAGTAAACAATTAAGTACACACGCACTTTTTAATCATTTAGAATACATATTTAGATAATAACTGCGGATTTTATTGACTTTTATGAACGACTCATTGTGTAAATATAAAAAATCATATCGATAACAACCTGTCAGGCATCTGAATTTGTTCCAACATTGCCGAACCCATGTTGGTCTTCCAGCAGCCAGAAATTGATTTGCGCATGAATGCCTTATAGCTGTGGCCAATTTTTTGAACGTGAATGTCGTATTTGGAATAGATGTACGGTTCGACGGTGCAGTAGGCGTTGCCCATAACGGCCACCACGCTTGCGATGTCCTGGAAATCCCCCATATTATCTATTTTCACCTTCCCGAGACCACCGTGCGCGTGACCTATTTTGACAACCACTGGGAACTTCGAATACGTTATCTGAAAATCAAAAACAAGAAGGCAATGAGAAAAAGAAAAAGAGGATGGTTGAAAAGAAGTGAAAAGATGTAATTACGGTTCCTATTTATAGTACCTACATGTATGTCTTATTAGTTAATGCACCTGAGTTTGCTTACTTAACCTTATTGAAGCTAATTGACGAATTGGAGAATGAGGACGCATTTTTGGTATCTGTTTTTTCTTTAAATAAACGAAGATTTTTGGCAATCCTTATTTCAGTTGTCAGTGGCAAAGATTAGGTATGTTATATCATGTTTTGGGACACACAATTACAAAGATAATAAGAAATTTATGAATGATTATAAATCTTGCAGCTGGGTTTTTAATTATGAGTAGTAGAAATCGCAAAATCCTATCGTTTCAAAATCTTTTCTCAAAGATAAGAAACGAAGAATGCAACTTACCGTATGTCCCACAAGACGTGGTCTAGGATAGGTTAAATTAGTGTTCATAATCTGGATAATGAATAAACAAAGATTTAAAAATTATTTCCCAAATTATGTGCAATTTTCTACTTAACGTATGTTTGAAAATGAAAATGTAGGGATCAATTATAGAGATAGAGGAGTAATACTTAGTTTGTATAAAGAGTAACAGACTGCAACGTAGAGAAGTAAATATTAGGAAGGGAGTCTTACAGGGATGCACACTGTCACCGCTACTTTTTAATCTATACATTGAAGACGCTATCAACATCATTAAAGACAGTACAACTGTAGGGATAGATACAGAGGGGCAAAAGATTAGTATGCTTAGATTTGCAGATGGTATAGTAGTATTAGCATCTAGCGGGGAAGAGTCAGAGATAGCATTAAATAAAATAGATGTGGTATTGACAAAACAGTATTGTATGAAAATAAATAAAAGTAAAACAAAAATACTGGTACGCAAGGGAAGAAAAAGTAGGGAAAGTGCGAATATAAATATAGAAGACGAAAAGTTAGAAGAAGTGACTAATTTTAGTTATCTAGGAAGTCAGATAAGTCAGGACGGAAGTAGTTGTAGGGATATAAAGCAGAAGATAGCGCAGGGTAAAGTCGCCATCAATAAAAAGAAGTGACTTCTGTGCTCGCGAACGGTTAATTTAGAAATTCGAAAAAGATTGTTGAAGGTGTATGTTTGGAGAGCGACGCTGTACGGGTGCGAAACATGGACGATGAGCCTGGCGGAAAAGAAAAGATCAGTAGCGTTTGAAATGTGGTGTTACAGGCGAATGATGAGGATATTGTGGATAGAGAAGGTTAGAAATAAAGAGCTATTAGAAAGAATATGAGAACAGAGGTCAATAAGAAATAGGCGAGATAGGTTAGTAGGACACCTTCTCAGGTATGAAAGTCTAGTCAGAGACATATTAGGGGCAGAAACGGGAGTTAGGAGGGGTAGGGATGGATCTAGATTAGATTACTGTCCACAAAAAGTTAAGGATAAGGGTTGTTCTAGTTTTAGAGAAATGCGAAGTTTAGCTCAGGATAGGAAAGAGTGGAGGTACGTGTCCAACCAGTCTTAGGACTGACGACCTTATGATGATGATTCTTTACTTTTTTTAAGTGTCTTGCACTATTTTGCTCGCTAAAAAGTCAATTTATGCTTTGGAGGAAAGGTACGTTTCCGATTTTTCACAACTATCATAACTGATATGACAAACTCACACGTATCATAAAAAATTTCAGCATTTAAGAGTTGGTAAATAGAAAAATTTGTGCTTAGCAGAATTAATAAAAAACGTAAGTAACAGATTAAATTAGCAAGATCAAGACTTAACATGCGAGACGAAGACCAAAACGGAGACTATATCAGACTGGGACAATCTTGATCTTTCTCTTGCTTTGGTCATCAGTACGCATATTTTGACCCTCGTAATGGCTCAAAACCTAGAGGTTATTTCTTTGGTATAAGTAGCAGTGTATTATAGCACAAGTAAAGTAAATTTGTAGTTACATTTCAAAAAAAAATTATTTTTTAATTGTAATATTGTAATTATGCGTTTTGGGGGTTGATTTTAGGGGGAATCATAAAACATACTCGGAAAAAGCCGGAAAAATCTCGAATACCTACAAGTTTTTTATTCATCTGAATACATTCTGACTTATGCTTGTGGGGTATCGCAAATAAAAAAATCTTTTCACCCCGAATGAACTTCGTTAATTTAATTTTACTCTTGGCTCATACACACGCAGACATATGTATCTATTTACAGTTATTAGATGAATACATTAGAAAATGTTGGCTGGTGTCTTAATAATTTCTGATGATATTCATGTACATTATATACCTATGCTACACTTTTATAGATACCTACATATATGTATAAGTAATTTACTTTAAAAACGTAAATATGGATCCGTAATCCGTTTGTTTACACATTTACAAATGTGCACTTATATGTATGTAATGATTAGTGTGCGAAGTATTGTATGTAAAGGTATAATAACGCGTTTGGTATATAACCATGTGCATTCACGCCGGCCGGTGCAGTTAGTTAGCCTACTGGGGACTTTCTTGATTCTATCAGTCGCGGTCGCGGTTTCATTCGCTGCGCTTTTGCTTGCTATAGTGCGAATCAACTGATTGTGAGTCGAGATACTTACGCTTTTTTCGCAAGAGAAATTACTTTGTAAATGCATATCAGGTAAATATGTACTTTTATGTATCGTCAAGTAAATAATTTTTCTTTCTCGTTATTTGTTCTATCGACTTTGTAAAATATCATTTATTTATAATCTACTTGCACGTGGTTTTCTGTTGGAGTAAATTGTTGTCGTATTATTAATTAGTTTTTTATAAACGAAATTCGTATTTTAAAGATAATTTGCACAAGTAGTTTATAAAGTTGAAAGTTTCTAATATTAAAAAAAGCTTTTTGTGTAATATACAAAACATTAAAAATTATCAGCAGAAACTGATATTTAACACCTTACTAAACAAATTGAAATATCATATTTGTGCTAGTAAAGAATGGATTATAATTAAATACTTTAGTTTTAATGAAAAAATTGGGATTTTATAAATGATTATAAGAAATATTTGATCCAAAGACTAATTACCGCAATTAACTTTTAATAAACTCTTTTTTAATATTAACGATTCTTGTTGATATAAACGCGAATGTCCATCAACATTTTGTAAATCGATATTTATTTATATAGACTATGGATTAAAGTGCTTTATTTGTATAAGTACATAAATAGCAATTAGTCAAAGTGCAGTAAATCAGTTATTACTATTAATTGTTTTATCGTAAGTTCAATTAGAGAATATGCAAGAAAACCTTACTACAAAATATAAAATATTATTTGTTTATAGATGTGTAATTATTACAATTATTAAAAAAATGACTAATTGTGTGGAGTGCGTGTTTTTATTTTTAGGTATGCTCGGTTATGGTTACCAAAAACAATTGCTTACGTTTTAAATTGCTTTCATAAAAATGACACCGCCCTTTAATCTTTTTTATTGTCATCATATTTATTATAAAATTCCAAGTTTTTTTCGAGATTTTTTATGATTACACGGTACTTTTAAAATCACTAGAAAATAAATCAGTTAATTCAGTGTTTTACGTATTAGTCAATAGCAATAGCAGCGATTTAATTAGATTACGATAATGAACAGGGACATAGTCACCTTAATATTACCATGGGTTAAAGATGGCCAGAGTATTACAGATTTAAAGTTCTGCATATCTCAAGACGCTTTAAGTCCCTTGGTCACGAACTGAAATTTTCTTGGGTTTATTTTATGTTTATCTAGAAAAAGAACGCAAAAACTCTCAATTTTGATATTTTTGGATCATTCAATAAAAACGCCGCATGGTATCTATGTCCCTGTTGGTGATCCGTCACTATTTATCGATAATTACAGGTAATTACCATATAAACCACTGCGAACCTGTAGATAAAGTTACTGCGATGAAATAGGTAAATAATTTTTTGGAGTATATGGTACGAAACAGTAAGGAATTTATAGTGAATGTATTAATAGACTTTGTTGGTTAGCTATTAGCAATCTGTAAAAGTAATAATTAATATTTCCTGTACACACCACATCACATACGCTGCACTGTTGACATCTTTTAACACGTTGCAGTATACAATCAAGTAGTCGCTTGAGAAACACATTTGCAGTTTATTTTCCATAAATGATTAAGTAAACCAATCGAAACTAATAACAATGAAACATCTAAAATCACGGATTTATCTGGAATTTGTTGCTTTCATTGATTTATTTTTAAATGGTACCTGTATATATGTACAAATAAAATCGGTTCATTAAATGATTAAGGATATCTTTATATCTCAACGATCCGATAACAATTACGAATTGAAATAATTAATCAACTAAAACGAAACTTTCAAATAAACGAAATATGTCTACATACTTCCGCTTCATTTATCAAGTTATGTCCGATTGATACCATCATGGTCAAATCACGATCAGATCAAAATATCGTTGGAGAGAAATAACGCGGTTAATTGACTGGACCTTGTAGAATGTATGTATATATGCTACAATATTTGACAATACCTGACTGTGATTGTACCATGTCTTGATCGTGACTTAACCGACAGTGTGAATTGATCAGATAAAACTATTGTTGGAGAGAAATACCGCCGTCAATTGAACGGTCCGATCACGGTTTGATTACAGTAACTAAAATATTGTAGGACACAGTCATGTCAAGAGCGATTCATACTATAGGCCAAGAAGTCAAGTCAAGAGAAACATCGCGGTAAATTTACTGGATCGTGACTTGACTGTGCCTTATAATGTCAATCGTACTGAAATTAGTCATGGTCCACTCAATTGACTGCGGTATTTCTCTACAACCACATTTTGATCGAGACTGGACCGTTGGTTGTCATTAAACCGTAGGTGTGTACTCAGTTTGGTTCGGTCAAGATCAATTTCGCCCAATTTATGCTATTGGTCAAGTCACGGTGCAGTCGTGTAGTATATATACGTACTACAAAGAACGGTCAAATCATGATCCAGTCAATTTATCGTGTTATACCTCTCTAACCATATTTTGATCTGATCTTGACTTGACCGTGACTTGACTGACAGTGTGAGTCGATCAAATCAAACTGTTGTTGGAGAGAAATACCGCGGTCAATTGAACGGTTTGATTATAGTCAACTTAAATATTGTAGGACACGGTTAAGTCAAGACATATTCATTTTATAGACCAAGTCAAATCAAGAGAAACATAGCGGTAAATTGACTGGATCTTGACTTGGCTGTGCCTTATAGTGTCAATACTGCTAAAATATTGTTTTACTTGTCTTTACGGGATCAGAACGTGGCCTAACCTATGCGGTATTTCTCTTTTACCATATTTTGATCGAGACTGGACCGTTGGTTGTCATTAAACTCCTGGCGTGTACGCAGTTCGGTTCGGTCACGGTCAATTTAACCCGATTCGTGCTATCGGTCAAGTCACAATGCTGTCACAGTCAAGTAATATATTGTAGCATATATAAATACCATAAGGAACGGTTAAATTATGATGTAGTCAATTTATCGTTTTGTTTCTCTCCAACAATATTTTGATCCTATCATGACTTCACAGTGACTTAACTGACAGTGTGAATCGATCACATCAAACTATTTTTGGACAGAAATACAGGGTCAATTGAACGGGCCGACCACGGTCTCATTACAGTCATCTTAAATATTGTAGGACACGGTTAAGTCAAAACCTATTCATACTATAGGTCATGTCAAGTCAACAGAAATATGACGGTAAATTAACTAGACCGTCACTTGACCGTGCATTATAGTTTCAATACTGCTACAAAATTTCTTTACTTGACTTTGCGGGATCAGACCGTGACCTGACCTATGATATGAATCGTACTTACAGTTACTCATGGTCCATTCATCTGACTGCGGTATTTCTCTCCAACCATATTTTGATCGAGATTGATTTGTCATTAAACCGCAGGAGTGTACGCAGTTCGGTTCGATCACGGTCAATTTAACCCGATTCGTGCTATCGGTCAAGTCACGGTGTAGTCGCAGTCAAGTAAGATATTGTAGCATATATACGTACTACAAGGAAAGATCAGATCATGATCCAATCAATTTATCGTTTTGTTTCTCTCCAACAATATTTTGATCTGATCATGACTTAACTGTGACTTGACCGATAACTTGAATTGGGCATTACCCCACAATTCTAATAAAACCCTTCATCTTTGTGAATGTAATACATACTTGTCTGATTCATACTACTGGTTAAGTCACGGTCCCATAACGGTCAGATCAAAACATCATTTGAGAGAAATCGTCCGGTAAATTGACTGGACCATTACTGGACCGTGCCGTCAAGCTACAATATTTTACATTTGACTTAGCGTGACTTGATCGTTCCTTATCGCATGAATCCTGCCATATAAAAAATATGCTATAATATTTTAATTGAGCGTAACCGGACCGTGACTTTACCGTGACTTATCCGATAGTATTACTCTGGCTTTGCCTAACTTTTTTTATATGAGCATTGTAATTCTTCAGAAAGTTTTATCATAAAACTGTGCATTTTTTTCTACCTAAATACACTTGAAAAACATTGATTGAAATAAAGTAACTAACCCAACGTAACGTAATGTAACGTAGCGTAGCTTAACGTAGCGTAGCTTAACGTATCGTAACGTATCGTAACGTATCGTAACGTATCGTAACGTATCGTAACGTAACGTTACGTAACTCACTGTTTAATTTACCTACTACCTACTGATTAATTAATAATCCTAATTAATTTAGGTACTGACCATTTCGTATATTTATAGTGGCTATTTTTCTTTAAGCTCTTTAAGTGTTCTACAAGGCCATCCCTATTTCCTGTGTATTTATTTTTCGTATTATCTATATTTGTATTCAAAGTAAAACTATTTTATATTTTTGATATCAACTAGAATAACGTTTCGTACTTGAAAAGGCGTTTTATCATGCGACCTCAGTGGTTGATAGGCTAAACAGAATTCATTGGATAAATGCAACTCCTTAAAACATGATGAATTGTGTTCTATACGCGGTACTATAATATCCTTTACCTTGATTATGTAGGTATACGTGCAAGTTTATGTATGTGCCCTATTTTGCAAAACGCCGGCATAAACAAACGCTAACACATAAGTTATTCGACTAACTTTGAATTGTAGTTTATTTTCAGACGATTGATTAACTCCACGTAATTCAGCATATACACCGCGTTCATTTGTATAGAATAAGCTACTAGACGGGGGCCTACGCAATGATGTCACTTCAACGATGAATTTTATGGTCTATTTGGATTTTGCCTACGTCTTTACCATGTATGTACGCGTTTGTACACAACGATATTATTATAACAGTTACAGGTGAGTGATATCATAACTAGCCAAAAGCAGACAATACTTTTTGTTATCTTTCACTTTATTCGCTAAAGTCTGTAATTTGTATATGTGTGTACAATAGGTAAATGTGAAAATGGTTGTGCAACACAAGCATGTACTTATATGTTCGTAACTTTTAAGGAATAAAGGATGTGAATCAGGGGCGGCCTTTGGGGATGGCGAACAGGGCATCCGCCCGGGGCCTCGCTCTTGCAGGGGCCTCGCACACTCGCGCAACAATCTAATTAGAAAAATATTAGGTAGTAATAGTACGTACTACTAATGTTTATTTGAATTTCTTAATAGTCTTAAAAGAAGCCGCAAATTTGCTATCTTTGTTTTTATCATTTTTTTTTAATTTTCGATAAACAATTTTAAAACTGTAAACTTATTTATGAATCACTTTGCATTTTTCAAGCATCATCATTAAAATTAATTCCACAAAGACGAGGGCCTCGCAAAAATTTACCCGCCCGGAACCTTCCAATGACTAAGGCCGCCTCTGATGTGAATGTAGTCTTGGAAATATTCAGGCTTTCAATATATGGTAGACAGTTTGGTGCTATTGTATATTATATGTGGTCTACCGTCGTGTATTTACTTGATATTTTATAAACTGCATAAATATTAATTGCAAGCAGACCGCATTATTACTACACTCTTAGCTGTATGTTGGGCGCTGCCACTGACCGTTTTTTCGACCAATTCTGCAATCGGCCAAGGCTTGAAGTATGTAACGTTTCTATAGACTTTGTGCTTGTGAACGACCGAACCTATGAATGCACAACAGGTATATAACCTGGGTCAAAAACTTAACTCTAAAAAAAAATATAACGTCCCTGGACAAAAATTTTCAGTCTCTCAGAGTCTTTCAGCGTCTCTGAGAGCGTCTCTCGCAGTCTTTCACAGTCTCTCAGTTATTGCCTAGGTGTTTTTATGGATCTGTCACAGTCTCTGTATGAGAGACTCGAACGATAAAATGGTTAATTCAGAGATTCGAGTCTCTCACAGAGAGACTGAATGAATAAAAGTGAATTGAGACACTCGAGTCTCTCGTAGAAAGACTGGGATCTCTGAAATATGCTGAACTTAGAAAATTTTAACCATGTCTATCGAGACACCACTTATTGAGAGATTTGAGTCTCTCGTTCAGAGATTCGAGTCTCTCGTTCAGAGACTGGATACGAAATGAGAATCTCTCTATGAGCAACTCGAGTCTTTCGTTCAGAGGCGCTAAGCTGTTTTTTTTACAGTCTCTCGACAGTCTCTCTCAGCGACACCAGAGAGACTCGATGAGAGACGGAGACTCGAGTTTCGTTTTCAGAGACTCTGAGAGACTGAACATTTTTATCTCGGGGTGCCTAACCTATCCTAAAAAGATTATGGAGTGAATTGTCTGAAGCTCAGGTTAGATAGTTTTATCAATTTTCACAGGAGAGATAAACATCACTTTAAAACATTTTTATTACGATGTTACATTAGGTTAGGTTAGATTGAGAGTGGGTTGGGTTGTGCTAGTTTCTTTTTAATATTTGATGTGTTACCAAAATTTGGAAAGAACGCTTTGGTTGTGTGTCGTAGGTTTAGTCGTAACGATGTAGCGGAAGTGTCATAACGGAAACAGACGTAAATAGTAAATTTTTGTGGAAGCGGAAACGGAAGCGAATGCGGCAGCGGAAGTGTAATAATTTTAGGTGATTCGTTAATGCAGTGGTCGTGGGCCTTTTTTGCTAATATTTTGTTACAAATTTTGCATTTAGCATTTGCATCGTTAATACGAATAAAATAATTCCAAATGTAACTTCTTTTTGGCTTCAAAATTGCACTTTTAACTTAAAATATATACTTCTAAGTAAACACTATACAAAATAAATAAATGCTATAACTGAGTTAGTCTTTTCGAAATGAAATTATTAGAACTGGCTAAGGGGACGTTTTTAGATTAAAGTAGGAAATTGATGAGAATAAAATTTGGAAAATATGAATACACGAAATACTAGGAAATAGGTTTAGGCCCTAAACTATAATAAAGTTATTTGCACAGGAACAATATTATTATTAACAAAATTTTGCCGGTTATAAGGCCGCATTGACGCTAATACTTCTGAATACTGAATATGAATGCGAAACTTCCGTAATTGCGGAAGCGGAAGTAGAGGTCTGTTGCAACACTATTAGACCGTATAATAAAAGTTACATCTAGAGCTTTGGCCGTAACGAGACGTACAATCCTAGAATTCGTCATAAAATATGACCATATGACTTTGTGCCCAACATATACGCCACAATTTGTTTCGAGTTACGATCCAATCTGATAAATACTTAATCTTTTGTTATTAGCGTACGCATCTGCTTATATAATACGTATAACAATTTTTATGGGATTTGAATGTAGTCCTCGAAATACGGCTTTGAGATACGTCAGACAATATTTTGACCTTATTCCTTGAAATACTGTCATTTACTTCAAGTTATACTAGTTCGCTTGTCCTACAATAGATATAAATATTAAAACAAAATTAGTCAAGTGCGATTTGGACTCTTACTTACGATTGATACTTAGAAGTAGTTCTCTAACTATTGAAGAAGCTACAGGATGACGAAGCAATTGCCATGTCAGTAAAAAAGTATGTTAATTGTACATGTAAATTAAAGTTTAAACATTTTGATTTGATCAAATTGGTCGGAATCCAATCTAGAAAAGTGAGAGGGGGTTGAAAATAAAAACCGAAGGGGTTAAAAATAAAGACCATTTCTTATCGTTTTGTGTGATGCTCTTTTTCATTTTATTCCGCTGTACCCACTTTATATAAATTATAAACCACTATATTAGTGATATGACATATGTGACACCTACGCATCCTTACATAAAATAAATTTGCACACATTAAGTACCTGTTTGTGCGTAAATAATGTTTATTTTTCACACGTTCTAAATATCTAAATGATACCATTCCCATACATACAAAATGATTATTTATTTGTTATACTATTTGTGGTAATCTCACTGCTTCCATCCGTTGGTAAAAGAAAGAAAAAGTTGACGCATATTTTACCGTTCAAGTGGATAAATGAGAAGGTACTTTTATGGTTAACACACCAAAAATACAAAATAAGATGATTGTGTAACGTAATTAGTGAACTTAAATGGTCAGCGAGATGCGAAAATACTTCAAATTGTTAAAATAACAACGGTCTATACGGGTTGTATCAAGAAATAGATCATGAAGAAGCTGAATTGTTCGCATTATGCAGTGGAAGTTTACTAACCTATTTCTTGGCATAATATAGCTGGAGCTCTTCTACGATATTTTTCCCTGATGATTTCAGAGACGAATGCGCAACATTTTCTTCTTAGAAACCTCGTCGAAGAAATCAGGAATAAACGTACTTTTTTTAACTATTTGCGAACAGTAATCTAATCTAGGTCTACCCTACCCCTTTTAACTCCTGTTTCTTCTTCCAATATGAAGAGAAAGATTATGTTATTTTAAACTTTGTAGTTATTCGTTTGTGCGGTTGTATGGTAAAATTACTATGTAAGAACCACAATAATAATTAAAGTTCCTATTTCCTAGCGATAAAATCATTTAGTTTACCTACTAACCTTTAAAAATAGATTTTCTTTTAGAAATGACATAATTGTTTACTTTTATGCATGTATATGTCAGTAATTACCGTGAGTCTAGTATCTGAAAATGCAAATTTGCTATTTGTAACACTTTTACGACATTTGTTGAAGCTAATGAGTTCATTTTGTTGATCAAGATGTATTTATTATAGTTTAAAACAAAAATAACAGCGGATCATCACACACGTAATACTCTAGCCGTAAACATTTTTTTTAAAACTTTTGTATTAAAATAGAACGGACGAAAATGACATAAATTGCAACGTGCCCTTTTGGGAACTTAATATATATCAATATCAAACTTTAAAGTGTAATTAACTTTCTATTCTCTACAGATTATCTTTTAAATTAGTGAGGAAAAGTCGTTGTTGCTTTCACGCCCTCGCCGGGAATAGAACCCGGGTCTACTTATACTCTTATTAATTCTGAGTAATCTGTAAAGGGTAGAAGATTAATTTCACTTTATTGTTTGATATTGAATATTAATCTCTTCGAGAATAAACTTAAACTGTCTCCTTTCCCTCAAACGAATAAAAGAAAGTACGGAAATGAATAAGAAAGTCAAGGAATATTGTAAATTTGGAAATGTCTTTCTCTTTGACATACTGAAACAAAACACTAATAATGCTGATTTTTTAGTAACTAATAAAAATTCTGTCTATTTTTAAATTCGAAAACGTACATACATAGGCGTACATGTCGATGATGTAAATATCTATTGTACATAATGTAATAATGCCCATCTGTGTGTATTTTGAACGATTTAAAAATAATTTAACTACGTCATTAAGGTGTAGTTTTTCTATTTTAAAATTAATCATTGTTAGCACAAGAGAAGGCCTTGGAAAGGTTACACATGACTGACAGAGTCAATTTCTTGCTTCAGTTATACTGTCTGTTATGATTTGTTCATGTTTGCTGTCGAAACAATAAACTCTTAAAAAAGTATTTAAAAAAAATGAAATTTAATTTTAGTTTCGTGTATTTCTTAATAATCAAAGCATAGCAATAAATGGGCGATTTTAATGTGAAATAACTTATTGGTTTTTAATTATATCTCACATCAAATAATACCAAACTGATATAACCATGCTTCCTTTAATGTGTAGTCGACAGATATAATTAATTGAATGTAAACAATGGGGTGACATCGTTCAAAAATTAGAGTAACAACTACTGGTCTTTTGTATACAGATTGACAAGTAATTTGCTCATGTGATGGCTTACAGAAAGGGTAGATGGTATATATATACAGGGTTTGTCCGGAAAGTAATAGGACTGATTTCCTTCCAGCGCGACTGTACTTCGGAGCGTGCGCGCACCGACTGGATTCGCTAGAGGGCATTCCTAGCTA